ATTTAAGCCTTACCACTGCCTTAGCTCTAGGTCGACTCTTGTGTTATATTAGTCTTACTTTTTATGGGGATTTCGGTGACGCTTTGAGTACTCTGCTCGTTTGCCCCTCTACCCCTCTGCCCTTCGTACTCTTCCGCTTTCTATCGTCTCCCTGCTAAAGCATACAGCAAAACTATGCCAAGAACTTAACCCAGTCAAGCGCCAACGCTTCTTCCTGTCTAACTTTAGCACTAAGCTTAATTGTTTTTGTGTTACTTTATAGTTAGTCAAACTGCATTAATGTGAAAAAGCAACAAAAAAAAATACATCAGAATAAACAAGGATGCTGTGCTTCAAAGATATGAAGCCATGTATACCCTTTGCAAATGATAAAAGGTGTTTTATCACATAATCATATAGTCTCCACAGAACAGAGAGTAATTCCCATATCCTTTTACATATTAGGAAAGCAGCACCTTCAAGTGGTCCAAGACCAACCGAGGGGCACTGCTGAATGACGCGGGATATTCCCTGATGTCCCAACGTTTATATTCCAAGCCGAAAAGGTTATGTCTGAGAGCTACCACCGCTTTATCCAGAACAAGATGTACCTCAACTTAAAGTACAGTAACCCCCGTAACACTGAAAGAAAAAACGATGAAACTAATTGCCAAAAACTTTTGAGAGAGAGCCATCAAAACGATAAGCCAACAGGTGGTCTAGGGGTTTTTCTTTTCGGGTTCTGCCTTCTGCCCAACTAACCAAAGCCAGTTGACCCTAATCGCCTTTCATGGACTCCGACACTCTCTCGGTCACGGATGCTGCACTCCCCAAACACCCAAACACCCACCCGGACACACCCTTTGGCCCTCACTGGCCATCCGGCTGCCGCTGCCGCTGCTGCTGGTGTTGTACACGTGTGCACGCAATTTGGTCATAAACCCTGGAGCCAAAGTTTCCTGAGGGCAGAAAATGGCAACAAATTTTTTAATAATAAACACTCCGCAGAAGCCGAGGAGGATACTGAGGGAACGAAAGTTTTTGCTTCTCCATTCCATAAAGTTTGTCGCTCGTACACTTAAAAGTAAAGTTGCACTTGAGTGCTCCAGGAGGGTGGATGTGTATGTGGATGAGTTGGGATAAGGTTGTTAAGATGCCAAGGCAATAACAACTCGGCAAAAGATAATGAAAACTGGGCAGAGGCGAAAGGGAATACCGGACAGGTGAAACGGAATCGATTACGGAGAAATTCCTGTGAAAAGGCGGAAAGCGAAAACCGCTCTGGCATTCACTCGTTCTGTTATTTTATCTTAGTAAATAGTTAAGTTCGGAATCTGGAGTATTTTTTGGTATTCTAGTAGAAAGTTCATTGAAATCATTTCATCGTGGAAAGTGTAGCAGATGGACATTGGTCGGATGACTTCCTTACCCTTTTGATCCGGTATGACTCATGTGCCTGATACGCCACATAAAGAACACGACTGAACGTTTAATAAAATATACAAATTTCTTTCGGAGAGTACATTGAATTGTGCTCTTAACTTACAAAGTTTTTTTATGTTTGAACAACACTTTCTTATGGGCTTTTGGGTGTAAAAATCAGGGTAGCACGTGTATATGTTGAATAAATTTAACTATTCCTTGGACAGAAAGAACATTTCCAGATTCCAGCGAAAGAGATGTGCAAAACAAAGTACGAATTGAGCTACAAACATCGCGTGAAGGCGTTGGAATTATGTGAGTTCGAACCCCAAAAGGTTGGTTATGTTAATTAAGAAATATTTATCTAGCGAAAGTTCCCAGTAAAGTGTGAAATAAACTAAACACTTCGTTCATATTCAGAATTGTTTACAGAGAAGTGCGTTTTGTCGCTTAAAAAATATATTTTTCATGTAAAAACTCTTACCATCAAATATATAACGTGTTCCAGTCCCACCTGAACGATATCCATGGGAATTCCAGAGATGCTCCATGGTGCATGATGATATTAGGGGGAGCCAGGATCCATTACTGGGGATATAAGGATAAATATAAGTGAAAAAAAAAATAAGAAATCGACTAAGTTAAATATGTCATAGTGTTTGTGAGAGTTAGTGATCGAAATTTGAAATGTTAGTGTCAGGAATGAGGCGGTCCATTCAAATAGGGCTTAACGCAGTCCATTTTCCCCATAGCCAGGCCCGGAATACAGCCAGCCCGGGCCAGTGAATTTCCTGAAGAGGCTTTGCTTTTTTCTTGAGACAAGGCAAATTTTGTCCGTGGGTCCGTTCATGAGTGTGTGTGTGTGTGGGTTTGTGAGTCAAGCTACGCCCAACGTGATACAGTGGACAAGAGGCCGAACATTTATGCCAAGGCGATGCAAGTCCAACCGTGCGATCGTTGCAGTGCTTCACTGGGCGTGCCACAATTAAATTTTTTTCGTACACGCCGCCAGAGCCACTGAACGCTCGACAGACGCACACACACATATACACCTGTTGAAGCCGGCACACACATACATAAGCTTAGGGCTTCGCTTTCCCTGACTTTTATTCTACGGAAAACTTACTTAAAACACGAAAACCATAGTCCAAATCGAACCTTCTTATGTTCCTTGTGTTGTCCTTCATGAATTGTTTGTTATTGATTAGTATTTCAAGCAATTTAACGAAAAATCCCGCGCACTGACCGACACCAACACATTTCACGAAAAAAAAAAAAACCGAACTGCAACCAGCTGATCGGCTGCAGGAGTTTAACCCTTCGTGGGGGGGTCACACCAGCCCACCGTATCTGGTGGAATATTTGTATAACTTTATTGTTGACTAATCCACCAAGAGCTCTTGGTGGGTTAGTCTAGTCGAGAATGATGAATTGAACTTACATAATTATATTTTTATACTACAAAAACTGCGTTAATTTATGGAGAATGTATCGCCTCCACATATATATATTGTTTGAATTTGAAACTGAAAAGGAGCCTTTGGCGCCAATTGTTACCATGTTATGCTGTTATGTGCGAACACACATGTATGAAAAATGTGCTGTAAGGCGCGACACAGATGTTGCAATTGCTACGCCGCAGTTCGCTTTTGCAACAATGAGTCCCATTCCATACACAAATGTTGCTAATTCCATGCACATACCCTGGGGGAAATGGATGTTATAGAATTGTAAATACGTTTGTCTTCCAAGGCTCAGTAGGTATCTGGATCGCTATAAATATATACAAGATACTAATAATGTACTTGAATATGTCTAAAGAATATCAATTTGAGAAAAGGTCTTTATAAATCAAGTTTCATCTACATATAAAATTAACAAAATAGGGTATACAAAGGCCTACACGCAACATAGTGACTCTTTTTTTGTTGGACTTTTTCGTTTAAACCTTTTTTTACAATAAATACAATAAAAGCAAGCATTAAAAACCATCCAATCTTGTAGAAAATGTATTCATCAATGGGATAAAACTATGTGGGCATTGCTGAGAGATTTAGTTAGTCAGCATTATTCAATGGAATATCAAAATTGAGCAATATGAACGTATTTCCTTTTTCGTTTGTTTTGATTGACCTATTTCGCTATTTGTTTTTTGTTTGACTTATTTCGCTAAAACCTCTTTTTACGCAAAATCCAATAAAAGCAAGTGTTTAAAATAAGCCAGTCAAGTTGAGAATTTATTCTTTAATCGTATAAAATTATGTGGGCAGGCCGGAAGGTCCAATCTAGCTAGTAATAATCGACGGAATATCAAAAACGAGAAATATGTATAATAGAACTTGGATTCCGTCTGTATATTTCTGGATTTTATCGAAACAGCTGTTGTTTAATTTTGTTGTGAATTTCAAATTTTAGACAGAAAGAAAAACCAAAAAAATGGACTCGCAGACAACCATTCGAAACGAGGATTCCGTGCTTCGGCTTAAGATCCGCAGCTATGCCAAAGAGCAACGCCAGATATTTCGTACGAATGCAACGGATGCCTTACGCTTCGGCTTGGGGCAGATCAAGAGAGAGATTAGCGAGCTGGAGAATCTGAGTGCAAAGGATGTCTGTGGACTGGCTGCAAGGATCAAGAGACGTAAGCATGCCACATCGGAGGATATGTACCGGCTGAGCCATGCCTTCCTACAGGGAAACGAGAATATCAATACATTCTCTGGGATCCAGGGAGCCATACAGGTGCTTGTTAAGGAACTAAGTGGTATTTATAAATCGATCCCCCCCACCCAACTATTCCCAGAGTTTATATAGATTATGCGTTTCAGGTACAAACATGCAGCGTCAAATCGATGCCGCCGAATGCTTCTGCAACCTGTCGCTGGGCGATGGTCACGTGTCGGAGAAGATCACAGCGTTGGCGGGCAGCTATTTGGTAACATATTTGGATGGAAAGGAGGAGCGGCTAAAACGAAGCTGTCTTTGGACACTGGCCAACATGTTGGCCACTTGCGAGAAGGCAGCCAAAACACTGCTGCAAATGCAGATAGTCCCCAAATTGTGGAAACTCTACACAGCGCCCACCGATGACTTGAACAGATTCCAGGATGACGCTGGCATTTGCTTGTACCTGATTGCCACCCACGCAGCCTGCACTGTGAGCGCCGTCGATCGCAGGTACATTGTCGAGCACCTGCATGAGAAGCTCCCAACAGATCCAGGCAGCGATTATTATATGTATATTATATATCAACTGAATATCGTCTGCTCAGAAGAAGATCTTTCCGTGCAGCAAGCTGAAAGTCTGGTCAACTTCTTTGTTGGCAATTTAAAAACCGATTGGGACTCATACGCCGGCGGCAGCATGCGCATCTACTATGGTGTCCGAGTGATGGCCAACCTGTTGGCCAAGGGGGACCCAAAGCTGCTCGGGTGCTTGGCGGAGCCCGAGAACTTTGTCAATGCCCTAAACCGGCTGTTTGCTCTACAAGATTCCAATCTTAGATATGACTTGATGCGATTGCTTAAGAATTTCCTAAGTCTAAACATTGTGGACAGCAATTTATTGTTGGAACAATTAAAAGTGTACGCATAAGTAGTTTCGGTTAAGTCTTGGGTATCTCTTTATTGGTCTGAGGATTAGATTAATTTCCATTAGTTCCAAGCCCTGGTCTTGCGTACTTTATATGAGAGTTTGTTACAAAAAACTAAATAGGCTTATGAAATAAATATAAATATTGCAGATGGATTTAAAAACAACATGAATACACCTTAAAGCTAAGAATACGTTTGGAATCTCGAACATAAACACTTTAAACTTATGAAATCTTTGGAAAAAAACAAAACTATGGGGATATCACGATATAAACTTGGAAAACTTATATATCATCTTCGAAAAGGGCAATTATACGACGCCTCTGGGCATCGTCGTCTGAGTTAATAGTAGGTTCATTCTCGTTTTGGCTGTTATGATAGTTGCTATTGTGAATCTCCAAGTCGGAGACAGAGTCAAAGGGTAAATTGCACTGCCCGCAGCGAGCCGAGAATGATGGAGGGGCCGCCTGAGCAGGAGGAGTGGCTGAACCGGGTGTGACTGCAGCACGCTGCAGCTTTTCCAGAAACGACACCCTTTCCATGTGCTTGTCGCCGTCTGGCTGCTGCTGCGCTGGAGGCCGAAGTCCCAAGCCGAGAGGCTCCCTGCGCTTTTTCCCATTGGGCTGCGGGGGCGAGGGTCGCAGACTCTGCTGCGGCGATGGTCGAAGACCCATTCCGATCGAACTATTTGCGGGTTTCACGCGAATGGGAATGGGTTTCTTCACCCCTGCCAGCGAGGCTCTTGGGGAATCAGTAATCGCAGAATTAGTACTCTCGGTGCGCTCAATCGCTTTTGGCTTACACTGAGAATTCGTACTCTCCGAGCGGGCAATCGCATATAGGACATTGTTCTCCGCCGTAATAGGCGTTGTCGTACCACTAACATAGACGAACATATCGTCAAGTTTCACCTCTAACTCTACCGTGGGTGCTTCGGCCGTTTTCTCACCATTTGAGACCTTCACTTGGTTCAGTTTTTCGGCCAGCAGAGTGTCAATGGAATGTTCCTGCAGCCAAGTGCAGGTTTTGTGCAATGCAAAGATCATGCGCCTGATGAACTCGTGGGGCGAGACCATCTTCTGTTTTCTTATATCTAGCAACTTAGTCGTCTCGGTCACAAATGTGATGAACTGATACTCAACGCAGTTGTCCAGATGCGTCTGGTGGGAGTCCTCGAACATGAACCGCTTAAGGCATGCAGGGCATTTGCGCTCCTTCCACATGGGCTCTGGAATAGTGACCTTAATGTCGCGCAACTGGTCCTGCTCCATGGGATCGTCTTCCTCGAAATTCGTTTCGCTATAGTTGTAGCAATTCTTGTGCTTTCGCAGCAGGGCAGCCTCCTCGTTCTCATCGCTAGAGCTGACAGCGACATAGTCTTCCTCGTCCTCGACAACACCATTGCCGTTGCCGTTGACGTTTCCGCTGGTGGTCGGCAGCTCCATGTCTCTACTGTGCTTTGCCTGCCTCTGGAAGGCATTACAGTGCTGATTCTTGTCGTATAATAAATTTAAATACTGTGTTCGTTGTTCGGAGTTGACGCTCAGCTGTGGCACGTTCTGGTTGAGCAGTTGCTTGTGAACTTTGTCTTTTGTCCCCTCCAGCTTCACGGCGTTGTTCAACAACAGGTTGTGCACAGGCCGCTGCTCCACATACCGCAGATCCTCGGCCGTGAACAGGGCACTCTCCTTATCTTGTTGACTGTTCTCCGATATATTCACCGACTTTTGTTGATAGAGCGCCGCCAGCTTAAGACTGAGTGCGTTCTTAATGCACTGCTCTCGGAATGTGACGGCGTGCTTTAGATACGAAATGCATGGTGCGCATATGTTGCGTGGCAGTCCATCGTCTGTAGAGTTCTAGAAAAGAGACAGCACTTGAAAGACTTCGTAACTTTTTTGGAATATTCGAGGCGTACTTTCAAACCCGTCGTCTCCTCAAGCAATATGTTTATCGGCTTCTGCCAATTGAGAAACTCATTTGTGGTACCATGCAAATACGTTGGTATCTTGGCAAAAATCTCATAGTCTGCGGGGCTGCTGCAGATGCGACAAATGTTGCCCCACTGCATCATTTTAAACTTTAAACTTTAAACTTAATTCTAACGCCGGAAAAAACAATTTTCTTTGTCGGCGAGTGTTGCTCCAATGGATTAGGGTAAAAATTACATCAACAGCTTGAACTGAACAGCTGGCTGTATGCGTCTAACAGCACATTTTCCACTGCAGTCCAAGATACTTATATTGCAATGCTTAAATATATTTTATATATTTTTTTCGTTTGTGATGTGTGGCAACACTTAAGTTGGAATTGCATAAACAAAAGACTTAATTCTAACGCCGGAGAAAACAATTTTCTTTGTCGGCGAGTGTTGCTCTAATGGATTAGGGTAAAAATCAGATCAACAGCTTGTCATGAACAGCTGGCTGTATGCGTCTAACAGCACATTCCAAGATACTTATATTGCAATGCTTAAATATTTCTGTATTTTGATGCAAATAAAGAGACAAATTGCTCGATTTTTGTGTAATTTAAGCAGCATAGTGTAGCTAGTATAGTTTTGCATCCATTGGAATTCGGGATTTTATATATTTTTTTCGTTTGTGATGTGTGGCAACACTTGAGTTGGAATTGCATAAACAAAAGAAAACCTGTCGCTATTTATTGAATTAAAAACTCCGAAATGTCGTTTACTATAATGCAAAAACTGTCGCTGCAGTGTCTCAAAGCAGACCAGCCTCTGATAAGTACGTATTGAATAGTCCCAACCTGCTGACGCGATCTAATTGCAAGTGCTTCCGTAGCCACCATACGTAATGCCAGTAAGAAGACCGGCGGCAGTACCCGGAATAAGAAAGGACATCCCAGACCAAAGCACCGTGGATGGCGAGTGATGGACGGACACATTGTCTCTGAAGGCACAATATTGGCCACACAGCTGACAACTCGATTCCATCCGGGCTTGAATGTAAGGTTAACCACAGCAGCATCGATGTAAATTAAACAATGTTTATCCATCAGGTGGGCTTTGGACGCAATGGAACTCTGTTTGCCATGGAGCACGGGAAAGTTTACGTGACCTGCGAGACAATCGAGCCAAATTGGGACCACACCTGGGTTCAGAGAAACTACGCCGGACGACAGAACCAAACCATCTATAAGAAGTTTTTCAACGTTATTCCAGAAAAGCAGCATCAGCGCTTTCGCTTAGTGGATGAAGTTTAAAATGTTATTAAATTGTTGGCCAGAAAAAGCGCTGTTTTATTAAATATTTCAAAATTGATTTCGAAGGTAGTGTGCGCCTAACAGCACTTAATTTTCACTGTTATATAGAAATCCAATAAAAGCAAGTATTTCGAATAGGCCAATTATGTATAGAATTGATTCATCAATCGTACAAAATTGTGTGGGCATAGATAAAGGCCCGGTTGACAACATTTAAATCCTTGTCGCTCACATTCAAAAAAGTTCGATTTGACGCGCACCACTTGGTATATTTTTCAAATGAGACCGTATATTTTGGTATTTATTTGAATCGGGTAGAATCAGTAATAACCGGTTGACAACAATGAGTCCCATTCCATACACAAATGTTGCTAATTCCATGCACACATACCCTGGGGGAAATGGATGTTATAGAATTGTGAATACGTTTGTCTTCCAAGGCTCAGTAGGTATCAGGATCGCTATAAATATATACAAGATACTAATAATGTACTTGAATATGTCTAAAGAATATCAATTTGAGAAAAGGTCATTATAAATCACGTTTCATCTTCATATAAAATTAACAAAATAGGGTATACAAAGGTCTATACTACGGTTACACGCAACATAGTGACTCTTTTTTGGTTGGACTTTTTCGTTTAACCCTGTTTTTACAATAAATACAATAAAAGCAAGGATTAAAAACTATCCAATCTTGTAGAAAATTGATTCATCAATCGTATAAAATTGAGTGGGCATGGCTAAATGTTCTATATAGCTGGCAATATTCAACGGAAGAAAGAAAACGAGGAATATGTAAAATAAACTTGAATTCGTCAGTATATTGACGGTATATTTTGAAAATGATGCGGTATATTTCGGTATATTTCTGATGTTATCGATGCATCGATGTTTTTTACACGCAGCCAACTTCACGTATTTCCTTCTTTTCCAAACTCTGAAGATGGTGAGTACGTTGTGTTATTTTGAATTCGATTTAAGGGAAAATAAACACACCTGTGTATGGCTGGGATTAATTAAGTGTGCTGCTGTTTAGCCGCACATAGTTTAAAGAAAAGTGTGCAATGTGAAAGTGAGGAAAACGGCCAAAGCGACTTCGGCGTGGCAACATAACCTCCACACGTGCCATTGGCCGCAGTCGTGCCAGCTGTCACACGTGCAGGAAAACATGAATTAAAAGCGAATTACTTTTTTACTTGTAGTCAAATATCAAGCGGAAGAAGACCAGAAAGCTGCGTGGTCATGTCAGCCATGGTCATGGTCGTATCGGCAAGCACCGCAAGCATCCCGGAGGTCGCGGTAACGCTGGTGGCATGCACCACCACCGCATCAACTTCGACAAATACCATCCTGGCTACTTCGGCAAGGTCGGTATGAGGAACTTCCACTTGCGCCGCCAGCACAAGTTCAGGCCCGAAATCAACCTGGACAAACTCTGGTCCCTGGTCGGTCCCGAGAAATTCGCCGAGCTGGAGAAGGAGAAGAGCACAAAGGCTCCCGTCATCGATTTGGTGAAATTTGTAAGTTGAAACCTTGACCCTTTTTCTTTTTTTTGCTGCTGTTTGCTGTGTCTTTGAACATGAAGATATCCCCAAGGCGATGGGCGGACTGAATGCGACCGTACAATTGCTCTCACCATGTAGAGAAAGCCTTACAGATCAAAGACACAGCCACAAGCAAATGGGGTCTCTACCGATTCGCATGAAGAACAATTTTTAATATCAGTTCAATTTCTTTCTGCAGGGCTACTACAAGCTGCTGGGTCGTGGTCATCTGCCCGCCCGCCCCGTCATTGTGAAGGCCAAGTACTTCTCAAAGAAGGCTGAAGACAAAATCAAGAAGGCCGGTGGTGTGTGCTTGCTGAGCGCCTAAGTTAAGGTGCGTTTAGTGCTTTAATATATAAAATGGATTTACTGTAAATGAACTGTAGTTCAAAGATGTTATGTTCCTTGGATATATTCCCCATTATAATGTATCATTTTCTTTTCAGATTCCTCTTCGTCAGAAAAAAGCAAACGGATTACATTCGAACATCAAAAATGTATTTGTTTTTTAATAAATTTAAAAGAAAAACAATCTTTTTCTATGAAAATTTAGTATACGTGACACAGCTACGTTTCTTGGCTGCCTTTTTTATAACTCTGAAATGCGGCCGCTTGGCAAGACTACCAAAAGGAGAGCGATCCAGAGAGGATTTCACCATCTTTTTCCCCGTCATCACTGGGTTCCCTCTGTTCAGCTTTGATTTTTGCAACTGCTAGCCTAGCCATCATGGTCTTGTTCATGGGTGGTCTTGCTGCCAGCTCGATGGGCTTGTTACATTCTTGGCTCTTGTGGCGTTCACCCGGCGGTCCTGGTGACGGCACATTATTTCAATTAGAAATAATATTTTTACGAGTCATTCATTTACTGCTCTGTTTCTAGTATGAATGGCATTTGATTGTGCATCCAGTCCACGATTTTGCTGGACTGGAAGGTAATAATACTGTGGCTATACATTTTTTTCGCCACTCTCATTATCCCCCCTGCCACCTGCAGGAGCTTAACAATCGATCCAGACCCAGACGTCTGCTATTCGTAGAAACCTTTGTAGAGCACTACACAGCGTTCCTGCTTAAAGGTCCTCAATAGGGTTTCGAGACTATCAGTTGCTCCAGCCGAGAGTTCTTGTGCCAGAATGCAATTGCAAGAGCACTTCTGATCCGATAAGTGCGCCGTAGAAACCACAACGTGGGGCGTTATGTCTATGGGGGCTATATTAATAGACGCCCAAATAGAAGGGAATTTTTGTACATTTATTTTCATGAATTATAATATGATTGCTTAGTCATCCAGCTTCTCGGGGGGTGGTCCACAAGGCTGCAGCATGCGCTCCATCAGATTAAACCGGACCCGGGCCTTCGACTCGTTCTCCGCAATGGCGAAGTAATTGAGTATATCGTAGTGCCCCATGTAGCTGGCCAGCGAGTCCCGGTGCTGGTTGGTCAGCCACTCGAACTTGGTCGTATCCGCGTGCCCGGTGCCGATGTACTTGCTCTGGAGATGCTCCAGCTGGCTGTGGATATTGTAGCGTTCACCCATTTCGGAAAAAATTGAAAATAAGTAAAAATTGGCGTCTGTGTTTGTTTTTTTTTTTTGCAGACGAGCGTTGCCACACGGTCACACTTATTTTTTTCTCCGAAGTGGACAGGGATTAACCCATTGTCGACCAGTGTGAATTCTTCACGAAAATTATGGGTCTTGAAGATTTTTCGCGCAGTTCGTGGTCTTATTTTAAGTAAAGGTGAAATGGACTGAAGGATTGGATGAATCCACAAGAATAATTATCTAGTTAGCATCCTTTTTAAATGCAGGGGGCTTAAGTGGGCTAAGCCCCAGTAAACACTGTTCACGAAGGAATCGAAGCAAACGTTACGTGTAGGTCAAGGCTTATCATATTTTGGCAGTGGAACGTCCTTGGGTCAAGGACACCATCGAATTAAATGTAATAAGAAGACGAAAGACCTTGGCAAGGGTGAAAGAGAGAGGCGGAGATTGGCAGAACATCTTATGTGAACGTGTATCGAAGTGAAGTTACGTTCTAACGTGTGTTTATTGCAGCTCTTTGGACAAATTTACTAACTGACAACCACCGCATTACATAAGAGCCGTACTGGAGGAAGACAAAATGGCCAAAAAGGTATTGAGAAATGTGACCCACTGCATCTTCGACATGGACGGCCTGTTGCTGGGTAAGTGTCGCATGCGTTTGTGATTGTGATTGAATTAGCGTCTCTTACACAAACCAGACACCGAGCGCCTATACACGGAGGCCGCGCAAAAAGTACTCGATCCGTATGGCAAGACGTTCACGTTCGATGTTAAGGAGCAGCTAATGGGTCTGCAGACACAGCAGGTGGCTGAGTTTATGGTCAATACATACGAACTGCCGATCACCTGGGAGGAGTATGCCAAACAACAACGCGACAATGCGCTAACCTTAATGGGGAATGCCCAATTGATGCCAGGTACTAATCTATGTTTTGGTATCTAACATTCCAGACACTGAGAGAATATACGAGGAGGTCACTAAGCAAATAGCCGCCTCCTATGGCCGTCCATATCCGGTGGCAACGCGGTTTCGGGTTATGGGCACCACGGAACAGCGATCGGCCGAAATAGTCATCAGCGAATGCAATTTGCCCATTTCGTTGAATGACTTCCTCAAGCGCTATTCGGATATGTGCCACAAGCGTCTTGGAAACGTTCCGCTTCTGGAAGGTTAGCACCGCCAGTACTCTAAAAGGCTTCCCGTTCATCATCTATTGCGCGCTCTCAGCATGCCCTCCCATTCGAATGTTACCTGAAACCGATAATTACACCAATCGTAATTTTGTTTCGTAATATCTTTCAGGTGCCGCACGCCTTTTGCGTCATTTGCATGCCAATAAGGTGCCTTTCGCCCTGGCCACCAGCTCCGGAGCCGACATGGTGGAGCTGAAGTCCACACACCACAAGGAACTATTCAATTTGTTCAATCACAAGGTGTGCGGCTCCACCGACGCCGAGGTGAAGAACGGCAAACCAGCGCCCGATATATTTTTGGTGGCCGCTGGAAGGTTCGGTGACACGCCAGATCCGTCCAAGTGCTTGGTGTTTGAGGATTCGCCCAACGGCGTGACGGCTGGTGAAAGTGCTGGCATGCAGGTGATTATGGTACCAGATCCACGCTTGTCCGAGGAGCGATGCTCCCATGCCACACAAGTGCTGCGGTCCCTGGAGGATTTCAAGCCGGAGCAGTTTGGTCTGCCGCCGTTTAGCGATTGAGCTTGTTACCTGTTTACTTAATGTAGCCCAGAGAATCTCTACATATGTATGTAAGATTTTCAGACTAAAATAACAAGATGTAGTACAATTTGTGCCGACAGTGGATGAGATGGGTGTTTTTATTTTGAATTTTAATATCGCCTAGAAATGGTTTCGTTTCCCTTTAGTTAAGCGTCTCCGTTTACTTGCCCACCGCTTCCAACTGTTTTTGAATGTCTGGAGCCTCCCGGTTAGTCAGCGACACGGATATTTCCTTGCCTTTACCTGGAGAGGATGTATTTACAGATGACCATTTGGAGTTCTGGGTGCAGTATATATAATTACCATAGCGTGCCCACAGCCGTGGCTGGGCTCCGGCGCATTCGCGCACCATGATTGGCAGGTTGGGGTTGTCTCTCTTCAGATTGGGATAGAATTTCTGCACAAATTCCCTGAAATTATTGGTTTATTTTGTTAAATTATGTAATTTTAAGAGCAACCATTCCATGGCGAACCTTGCTCCTTTGGAGGCATCGCCGGTTGGATCCAATACGATGCGCAGCTCCTTCAGTTTTGGCGTAAGCGCGGCAAGGCGGGTCAACGTCAGACGCATATTTCCAAATGTTTTGTTTTGATTTAAATGATCCAAATCGATTGCGAAAGAGTGGGACGGGAAGGGTGGTCAAAATTCATTCCACCTATCGCACCTATCGATAAGCTGAATGAAAACCAAAAAACAACACAAAAATAGTGTCAGTCGCCAGTCTTATTTCGCTAAAAAGGAAGAAAAGCAAGTATTAAGACTACACCAGTTAAATAGAAAATTGTTTCATCAATCGTATAAAATTATGACTGCATGGCTAAATGTTCTATATAGCTAGTAATATTCCACGGAATATCAAAAACGGGGAATTGTAGCACTTGAATTGGTCAGTATATTGACGGTATATTTTGAAAATGATACGGTATATTTAGGTATATTTCTAGGGGTTAGGCCGTATATTTTGTCGATAAAGGTCACACTGATTGGTTTTATTATCTCGACAACGCGGAAAAATAAAATTTTTTTATTAATTAATCTTAAACTACAAAATGACATCCGTACATTGTCAGCTATGGATGGGCAGTGTAAGTACCATAAAGTATTCGTTGAAAAACCTTTGCTAACATTCAAAACTAAATGCAGCTGGAGTCCTACATGACGGAGAATTTTATAATTGCTGCCTTCCGAAAAATGGGCGAGGATCCGACCACAGTGCGTTTGATGCGTAACAAATATACGGGAGAGCCAGCCGGCTACTGTTTCGTCAACTTCATATCCGACGATCACGCTCTTGATGCCATGCACAAGCTTAATGGCAAACCAATTCCCGGCACCAATCCCATCGTGCGTTTCCGTCTTAACTCCGCCAGCAACTCGTACAAGCTGCCGGGCAACGAGCGCGAGTTTAGCGTTTGGGTTGGCGACCTTAGCTCCGACGTGGACGACTATCAGCTGTACAAGATTTTCTCCAGCAAGTTCACGTCTATCAAGACTGCCAAAGTGATTTTGGATAGTCTGGGGTTCTCCAAAGGATACGGGTTCGTGCGCTTCGGTATCGAAGATGAGCAGAAGTCGGCGCTGTATGACATGAATGGGTTCATCGGCCTGGGAACCAAACCGATCAAAATATGCAATGCTGTGCCAAAGCCAAAATCGGAACTTGGCGCTGCCCTTGGCGTTAGTGGCAGCACCAACTACGGCTACTCTGGCGCTGGAGGAACATCATCTCCTGCCGCCGGTGCGGACTACTCGCAGTACTATGATCCCACCAGCACCTATTGGCAGGGCTACAACGCCTGGCAGGGATACTACGAACAGGCTGGTCCCTCCATCACAGACGCGGCCGCCTACTACCAACAGGCCATGTCACAGTCCCACTCGAACCCTCAGACGCTGGCCCAGCATGCGGAGGCTTGGAGCGCACAGCGGAGCGCTCAGTACGAGCAGCAGCAGCAGCAAAGTGCCGCCTCCAATGGTGAAACTGATCCTGATTTTGGCCTAGTGGAACACAAATTCGTCCTGGACGTTGATAAAATGAATCGCGAGGCTATCGATTCTGATCGTCGTCTATACGATGCATTGGAGAGCTCCAAGTGGCTGCCCATTGAGCAGTTGGAGGTCTTTTAGGCTATTGTCATAACATACATTAAATTTATGGACCTATCATAATACCTACTTTAAGTTTGACAGAAGATTATATTTGCATACATATTGCGTATATGTAATGTATATGTATGTACTTCTGTCACAGTACAATCCCTATACGATAAGATATAAATATCATATTATAGCTGGAAAAACATCAATTTTTTTAGATTACATTAGAAGCGTCTTAATAATTAATAAGTCACATTTTTTGATCCGGCGGATATACAGTCCTTGTTCATGTCACTATTCCCAGTCACTGGGGCCACACCCTCCCCGCTGTCTATATCAATGACTATGCTATAACAATGTCGAACGGCTGTCCATAGTTGGTCAAGAGGCTGACCTTTGATGCTGTGACTTCTGCTTTCGATCTGGAGCACCAACAGCGAGTTTATGCCCGAATGGACAATGTTTTCCGGTATTCGGTGTTTAGATCGCTCTTCAGTACACGTAGTCCTGGCCGCCAACAAGTATCTGACGCTTGCCATCCAGTAGAGGCGTCTCGTCTCCCGCTATGATAGTTTTCAGCTCGGGTGCGTCCATAGTAGTGCAGCGTATGGAGTCCGACCCTCTCCAGTACATGTCGAACAGCTCCGTCTGCAAAATGCATGTGGGGGCCAGCGGTTCCACGGTACTCCACGCTGCGCAGGATTTTTCTTTAGTCCGCCGACCGTGGGTTTACCTTTTGCCTTCATATTGTCTCTTCTTCATATAATCCGAGCAAACACGGACAAACAAAAAAATCGAATTGGGGCCTTGGGGAATTAAAAACCCTGCGTCTTAATAGTAATTTCAAATTGCAACCGATCTTTCAAATCCGCCCGCTGAAGTCGCTGTGAAAAAGAGGGGTATGGACAACAGGCAACACGGCTCAGAAATTGCAACGCATGCAAGGTAAAGCCCACCTCTTTGGAATTATATACCATGAAGAAACAATTTGCGAGGTGAGGATCGTACGAGACGTATCGTTTTTTTTTGTTATGCCCAATTTTTTTGCTGCTGTTTTTGCCTGTTGTCTATACCCATTTTTATAGCCCATTCAAAGTTTTTCACCCGACTCATTTTTTCGTTGCATGCATAAGCGCTCAGCTGTTCGGCCCATGATGCAATTATACAAGGCGGTCTCGGCCAGTCCTCCTCCCCTTAGTACGGTCACACTCCGCGAAAAAAACGAGAAAAAGTTCAAGTTTTACAAAACAAAACAGTTTGAAAATATAAAAAACCACTGTTTTGTTGCTATTGGATTATGGCATCTTTCAAGCGGGCGCGCCAGCCGAAGATATCGACGCAGGCCCTGCTCGACTTGGATCTGGGAGAGAGCTCATCGGATAGTGACTTTTGTCCAGACATTGATGGCTGCAAGGACGAGAGTGATGGCGAGGGGGATAGCAGTGATGCCAGCAGCAGTGAATCGGACTCTAATGCGGATTCCGAGGCTGAAAGTGACGATTCCACGCTCCAGCTGCAACAGCTCCTGGCTGATAGTGGGGGCACGGGCACGGGCCAGGTACCATTGCAAAATGGAATCAATGGCAATGATTACGGGACAGTCCCGGGAGCGGCTATTGCTATACGTGCGGTGCAACTTTCCAGTGCTCCCGCCAAGCGAATGTGCTGTGTCTGTCTCGGGGAGAGAAGTGACGACGTCAACGAGATTGTAGAGTGCGATGCCTGCGGCGTGTCGGTCCACGAGGGCTGCTACGGCGTCAGTGACAATGTGAGCATCTCCAGCACCAACTCCACCTGCTCAACGGAGCCCTGGTTCTGTGAGGCCTGCCGCGCCGGCGTCTCCGAGCCGGACTGCGAATTGTGCCCGAATAAGGGTGGCATCTACAAGGAGACGGACGTGGGAAAGTGGGTGCATCTCATTTGTGCCCTCTACGTGCCCGGTGTGGCATTCGGTGAGGTGGAGCAGCTGTCATCGGTGACGCTCTTCGAGATGCAGTATAGCAAGTGGGGGGCCAAGGTGTGCTCCCTGTGCGAGAACTCGCTCTTTGCTCGCACTGGGGTCTGCATTGGCTGCGATGCGGGCATGTGCAAGACCTACTTCCATGTCACGTGCGCCCAGGTGGCGGGCTTCCTCATCGAGGCCCACCACGAGGACGATGCGGCAGATCCTTTCTACGCCCATTGCAAGGTGCACTCCGAGAAGGAGATGATCAAGAAGCGAAGACGAAACTATCACACCCTCCGCCTCAACATGTTGCAGAAGGCCAGGGAGAAAGAGTTGGCCTCCAGCGAGCAGCCCGTGGACGAACCGAACACGAATCCCGCCCAGGCGCGCATTCAGCGTAAGCTCTCGAAGATCCAGCTCAAGTACGCCCAGCACAAGGAACTAAAGCCCACTCCATGGGTGCCCACCCAGAAGATGTCGCGATTGCTGACTACTTCGGCCTCTGCTTGCCGTCGCCTCCTGGCCAAAGCCGAGATCATGTCCGTCGATGTGCAGCATATGGAGCAGCGTGAGGCCCACATCAATGCCCTGACCGACATCCGGAAGAAGTGGCACATTACACCCGCCTTCAGCGTTGAGTTTACCGCCTACTATATGGATCGCATTGTACGGATGGAGGACTTCCGGCAGCAGCAGCAGAAGCTGATCAGCCACAATGCCATCTTGTCCAAGGACCAGGACAATCTTCGGGCGCAGTACGATTTGTCGTTGGAGGAGCGCAAAGCAGTCAAGTCTACGCGAGACACACTACTGGCCACCATCAGAACATTGCATGGCAACCTCTCGCATATCGCACCCGGGATCACTCTCCCCAATGTGGACCTCATTGGCCGTCCCCAGCCAGAGGCGCCGCAAAGAACCAGCACACCCACTCCGCCGCAGCGCCCCATATCGGTGCCAACGGCGGCGGCTCTTAAAATGGGCGTTGGCTTTCCACTGGCGCACCTGGGGCCACCGGGAACCAAACTGGACTCCTCGCGTATGCTCAGCACACAGGCAAAACAGGGCAGGATGGCCATAGCGACGCCGTGTGACACCGGGACGCCGACCGCCATTGCAGCGATGGCTTGCGGCATCTGCAAGAGGAACAACGACCAGCATTTGTTGGTCAAGTGTGACACCTGCAATCTGCACTACCATCTGGGATGTCTGAATCCTCCCCTGACCCGGCCCCCGAAGAAGTCCAAGCAGTATGGCTGGCAGTGTTCCGAGTGCTGTGACAAGTCGGATGGATCCGATGCTGTGACGGAGATATCGCCTGGCCCCAGGAAATCTCGCACTCGCTTCAACAAGGACGGTAGTCTGGTCTACGTCGATCGGTATTCGCTGGACGATGTACCTGCTCCAGGTTCCGCCTTTCCCAGGGATACGTCGGCCAAGCGAGCGCTCAACAAATCCATCCCAGTTGCTGTTGGCAACTCAGATCTCTTCGTAGATTTGACCATGTCGCCCAAGCGACCAAGACAACAGTCGCCGCGCAAAACCCCCATAAATGGTAAGATTAAGTGCATAAAATATTCACAAAATGGCATCGTTTCATGATTTCTACTCGCACAGTTCCAGTGGCTTCTACTTCCGCCACTGTTGTAGTGGCAGCTGCCTTGGCCGCGCCCACGGCTAGCACCACGATGCTGTCTGGCTGCGAGGACTCCATTGATGAATTGAGTGGTAAACAATCGCGTAAGGGCAAGCGCAAGGACAAGCATAAAAACAAGCACAATCTCTCTTCGGATACGGAGAAGTCCTTCACCAAGGAGCACAAGCGAAAGCGGAAAAAGCGCGCTCATCTCAATGAGTCACTGCTTCAAAATCAGAATCAGAATCTGGCCAATTCCGCACGCAACACCATTAAAATCATTTTAAAGACTATGCGCCTGCCTGGAGAGGATGCCCCCGAATCTCAGTATTTCTATGTTCCCGCCAATGCAGTTCGCTCGGTGGACGAAGCGTCGCGCCCCACCTCCGTCGAAACGGTCGAGGACATCGTCCCGCCAGAGCAAACACTGGTGCCCGTTGTGATGCCAGCCGTGGCAGTATCGCCGCAAAAGTTGAAGGATCCCAAGGAGGCAGCGGCACCCCTGCCCGAGAGCCCATCGCCTAAACGCAAGGTTAGTCCGCGCAAGACGACTCCTCGGACACCGCGGGTGGGACGGCCGCGTGTCTCCAATCCTAAGCCCATAGTGGAGATCAACTGTTGCGTGTGCACCAAAAGCGGAAAAGCCAACCAGGTTGTGACCTGCGACGAGTGCCACAAGCATTATCACTTTGCCTGCCTGGATCCGCCGCTGAAGAAGTCCCCAAAGATACGCGGATATTCCTGGCACTGTGCCGACTGTGATCCCACAGATGAAGATGCACTGCCAAAAAAATAGAATCTGAATTTATCTTATAATATAATTGTACCATGGATACCATCTTCACAGATCATTTTATTCGATTTTTGCCATTATGTACCGGCGATTAAATTTATTAAGAAATTCCCATTACACTACACATTTTCCAGCTGTAAACTATTCCAAGAATTTATTCTTAGCTGCAGGCGGTCTCCAAAGCTGCAGGCAAAAGCCCGGCGACTGATGTTTTACAATTCCATGTTAAAGCCCACGTATGGGCTGTGAACTATTATAGTTCTATGCACATGTATTGTACCGGCCAACACAATACCAACTTCCTGCTTCTTGAGAATGTCCTGGCGAACAAAGCGAGCTGCGAGGAAGCGCCCAAAATGGGGACAGACCGAGAAAAAATACAAACGAAATAAAAGCCGTTTCGTTTTATAATTAGGTGCGCTTTTTATGACGCCTTGAGGTCAGCACAGCAGGGCAGCAGGGAAAGCTGTTCCAGGCCCTGTTTGGAATGCTCTGGAGGCTCTCCATATAGGTCTCGGACTGCTGCTGCAAGCGCTGCAGGAAGAGCTTAAATGTCCGGTAGTTGAGCTGTCGGTAGTTCGGGCATCGACTGTCATGGTGGTGGGGCACACCGCAGTAGACCCACGAGCGTTCGAGTTCCTCGATATTTGGCATCTCGATTATCTTTGCGTTCCGAGCCGACTCCATGCTGGCGGAGATCGCTAGAGACTCCTTGATCTTCTCGAACAGCCAATCTTGGAAGTCGGGCGACCTGAAAACCTCAGCGATCATCTGGTTATCGCACTGAGTATCGAGAGAGCGTAGCAGCCAGGCCGGGAGAAGGCTGACATGCATGTTGGACATCAATTGGAAGACGTACTGCTGCCGCTCCTCCCATGCGTGCTCTAGCCAGCGGAGGCAGGCGAAGAAGACTTCCTCCTCGCCATTCACGCAGATCGTTTTCAAACGGAGGAGGTATACCATCTCCTGGGCGTTTAGCTCAAGGAACTCCTGCGCGGCAACCAGAGGCAGGAAGCACTTCCGGACCCGAGACAGCATCATGATCATCATTTCCTCGCAGCGTTGACTGCCGGCGGACAGATAGGTGCGGAGGGCATTCTGCTCCCAGACGCCGCCGCTAGGGCTACGACTGAATGCGGAACGGTAGTGGTCGACCAGCTCATCAATACCCAGGAACTTGGCTGCCTTAAAGAAGGGTATCAGCTCTCTGTTGATCTGAATGACCTGCTCATTCCCGAGCATCCAGTCGTAGATCCGGCGGAGCATGCACATGTCAACCTTCGACACGGGGATCTGCAACACGGAGCTTTTGCAGGTCCTGAAGTTCTTGGCAAAGTACGTGAACAGAAACCGATCGACGTGAAGGAACTGTGACTCGACCAGTATCTCCAGGTCGTCGAACCAGTAATTACGGATCGCCGACAGCATGACATCAGCGGGAGCTGAAAGGAATGGATTGGAATGATTTTTGGCGCCCGAGACAAGTGGAAAACTTACCCAGCTGGCACTGAGGGCTTTTCATCTGGAGTTCGGTGTATGAAATCTTTTCAAACCGCCACAGGACCTCATAGTCAGGAACGGGTATCGGTGGCTCTTGTGTTTCCGACGCTTTCAGGGTCTTTGTTTGCCGTTGCCCCCCTTTGGCACTCATGGAAGAGGGTAAAGTCCAGAACTTGTGGGTCTGAGCCAGTCTGTGCTGGCGCGCTGCATTGAAAATCCCGAAGAAAGTTCGATCTGCTTCGCTTAAGGGGACTTCCGGCCCCATGTTGAATGGATCAGACTCCGGAGGGCTTAGCTTTGACTGTGTTGATAGCGGTGTGTTCGGCTCGAAGCCACTTTCCTGGACCAAAGCCTCGATCTGGTGCTGTGGCACAGTACGCTGCTCGATGCGCTCCCGCCAGAACCACTGGGGCACCAATATCTTCTCTTCCTGCTGCTGCGAGCTCGAGTCAGTTGTTTTTTTGTCTTTCATTTCGTGTGTTCGATGCTGTCGGACTACCAGTAAAATGCTCGGATTTATACACTGAACTTAGTTTAGTTCGTTTGACAACCCAAAAAAACAAATTATAATTATAATCAAATCAAATGACATGTGAACATAGGAGTGACGGAAGTCTCATTCAGTTTAGCTTGGAATCTCTAATAGGCTTTTCTCGAGATAAACTACTAAACTAAGTGCAGGCCTTTTATTTATTACTCGGTTCGTTTGATATATGGATTCGATTTCGCGGCTTGCAGAGCACCGTTGGAGAGGATTTTATTTTCAAACAGGGTGGCAATACTGACAGGCAGCTGTTTTTATTGTCTGTTTCGAAGAATATGGCCACTTTTTTATTTGCACCCTACTTTGAGGAATATTCGCTTTCAGTTCGCTTTTAGTTCTTGAAGTTGAGTTTGAATCGAAAATACATAAATTAAGCACCTAATTTGCAGCAAACTAAATATATGGCTGGAGTTAGAAACTACGGAGAAGCGTAGTGCATTGACTGGTCGGCTAGACTTTGCCAGAACTATTTCCCATTTCTATCGCTTGCTTTGCTGCTGCGTGAAAAACAGCCACGTAAAAGCGCAGCTACGCACAGCCCCATTCTACGAAAATATAAAAAGTGTTACCCGAAACTGAATGAATGTAAACAACAGAGCGCGCGCCCCAATATCGGAACATGCCACAGCGCCAAGCGACACAGCAGTTGGCAGGTGAAATGTGTGACGTGAAAAGCCAGAAAGAGCACTTGGAATAGGAACAACACACAGCACAAACCGTTTATTAAACACCATGGATGAAAAACTAAAGTATTCGCTGCTGCGTGGTGAGCTGGTGGACACGCAAAGCATATGGACAAGGTGAGAATCAGGAAGATTTACGTATGCACGACGATCCAAGTAATTCTGATTGTCCCTTCTTCTTTCTAGGCACGAGAAACGCGTATGGTTCATCACACTGATAACAGGCACATGTATGCTTTACTCGACACGGACGACTATGCCATTGCTGGTGCCAGCGGTGGCCGCCGCACAAAAGTGGAGTAAAACCGATTCGGGCACCGTCCTCAGTTCGTTCTTTTGGGGCTACACTCTGACGCAGGTGGTGGGCGGTTACTTTAGCGATCGATTCGGTGGCCAAAGGGTTATACTGATTGCAGCCATTGGCTGGTCGCTCATCACATTCCTGATGCCCACGATCATCTGGTCGGCGGGGTCGATCAAGAGCTATGCCATTCCTTTTATTGTGGCTATACGCATACTGAACGGAGCCTTTCAGGGCGTCCACTTTCCCAGCATGATAAGCCTTACCAGCCAGGTGAGTCGGAATGTCTTTACATTGATGTAATCTGATCTAATCTGGATTATGTTTCAGAACCTCTGCCCGAACGAGCGCAGCAGCTTCTTTGGCCTGCTGACTGCCGGCTCTGCACTGGGCACCTTACTCACGGGCATTATGGGGTCCTTTCTGCTCGATTACTTTGGCTGGTCGTATGTGTTCCGTGTGATTGGCCTGATGGGATTTGCTTGGGCGTTGGTGTTGCGCTACTATGCCATGGCCGGAGAGCGGAATCGAATCATCAACATTGCCACACCCTCGCGTCTGTCCGCAAATAGGACGCCGGCGGAGACTACTGTACCCTGGCTGCGCTACTTCAGTCGCCTGTCCTTTTGGGCCTGTGTTCTGACGCATGCCTGTGAGATGAATTGCTTCTTTGTGCTGCTCTCGTGGCTGCCCACCTACTTCCACGATGGCTTCCCGCACGCCAAGGGTTGGGTGGTTAACATGATACCTTGGCTGGCCCTGCCGCCGTGCACATTGTTCGCCAAATATTTGACTACGCGACTGCTAGCTCGCGACTGGCACACAACTACGGTGAGAAAGTTCATCCAGAGTTGTTGTTTTGCCGCCCAGAATCTGGCCCTGTTTGTGATGAGCCGTACGTCTGATTTCCACACGGCTTTGATTTGCATGACCATCATCATTGGCGGCACGGGCTTCCACAACAATGCTGTAACTGTGAATCCGCAGGATCTGGCTCCGCTCCACTCGGGCAGTGTCTTTGGCCTCATGAACACGGTGGGAGCTATTCCCGGCTTTCTCGGCGTCTATCTAGCGGGTCACATACTGGAGCTGACCCAGAGCTGGCCGATGGTTTTCAGCGCAGCGGCAGGCATTAATCTAGTGGGTTGGATAATATTCCTGGTCTTCGGCTCGGCGGAGGCCATTGTTTAATTGTGCAAGAGAATGCTCTTCGACATTTTCCCGGTCAGGAAAGAACGTGTTTATTTATGTATTTGTATGATATATATATAAGGCCCATTAGTCTTAAGTAGCGAAATCCTACGGCTCCTGGCGTGATAAAATATATATGTATATTTCAATGCCATGAAACTCATTCTGATAGGATCTTCGACATGTAGGGTCCGTCCAGCGCGTAGCCCAGCTTCCGGTAATAGTTCCTAGTGCCGACACCCGAGATGACCGCCAGCTTGCGGCTGCCATGCTCTTCGACTGCAATTCGCTCCGCCTCTTCCATCAGCAGTATACCGAATCCCTGATGCTGGAACTTGGTGGGATCACGAGCGTTCACCGGAACTACCGAGCCATAAACGTGCAATTCCCGCACAATGGAACAGTCGCCCTTCAGCTCCGGCCGGAAGGTATCTGGCGAACATTTGCGCAGACGCAGTAGACCAACGAGTATATCCTGTTCGGGATCCTCATACGAGAGGAACGTTTCCCAACCTCCATTTGCCACATAATCGCGTCGGATTAGCTCTATGTCATAGGGTCGAACTTTGTTGTGAATCTCCTGGATGCCGACCTCGCGTGTCCTTACATCACGACATGTGGTACCCAGATCCTTCATGCGAGCCAGGGCAAGCTCTCGAAGATTACCGTGCTCTACCCCAGAGCTGAAAAGGGTACTCATGTTAAGCTTGTCATAGAATTCATCGGCTACTTGCTTACCTGACCAACGGCATGGGAATGTCGCGCTGCACGCGATAGACTCGTGTCCAGGGTGGCACTAGGGCCAGGATTTTGGCAACCAGATCCACCAGCATAGAGGGTGGATAGGACTTGTAGCGTCCGGTCTTCCACAGCTCATAAAGCCCGGTACCGCGAATGACGAGAGTGGGATAGATTTTCAGGCCATCCGAACGAAAGGCAGGATTCTCAAAGTATTCGATGAACTGCTCAATGTCACGCTCAAAGTCTACATTGGGTAAGTCGGGCATCATATGGGCCACAATCTTGTAGCCGGCGTCTTTGCCTAGCTGAAAACTTTCGCACACAGCCCGCACCGTATGGCCACGATTTGTGTCTCTGGCAACATCTTCGTAGACGGATTGCACGCCAATTTCCAGGCGGGTGCAGCCGTAGTTGAGCATATCCGAGAGGTGCCTCTTGAGGCAGTAGTCCGGACGTGTCTCAATTGTAATGCCAATGCACTTGGTGCGAGATTTCTCAGAGTAACGTACAGCCTCGGCCACGTTGGCACTGCTGTGACCAGAGAGAGCGTCGTGCAGATTGCGTATGAAATAGTCGCGATACTCCTCCGACAGACACATGAAGGTACCGCCCATTACAATAAACTCCACCTTGTCCACGCTGTGACCCAGCTGCTTGAGCTGTTCGACGCGATGGCGCGTCTGCACAAAGGGATCGTACCGTGCTCGTATAGCGCGCATGGAGGTGGGCTCATAGCCGGTATATGATTGCGTCGAGTACTCAAAGTCGCTGTCAGGCCCGCCAGGACAATAGACGCAGATGTTGCCGGTCATATTGATGTGAGGACAACGATGGGGCTTGCACATAACTGCAACGACGGCAATCTGTACAAAACGAAGATTTAAGTGGAATAGAAACATTGCCAAAGGTCTCTATCAACTTACACCGCTCGCTGTACGTATGGGCTTGGCGCGCAGTTTGGGTAGAAGGATCTTTTTGGCGTCCTGTGGCACTGCGGCTATTATGTCCACCAATCGTGGCGAGCTGTCTAGTCCATATTTGGAAGATATAAGCGACTTCATGCGGTTCAAATTCACATCCTTCTTGGCTTCGTGTGCGGCCAGAAGCTCTTGAATTATTTCCCCGACAACAAGCACCTGACGCTCCTCACGACTGAGACCAACACCTGAAAAGGAAACACGTTGCTCACTTGAAGCAGTACATATGTATTGTGTATTTGCAAACCTACCCAACTTCTTTTTCGGCTTCATTTCCTAGCAGATTTTCGCATAAATATTGCACGTGTGGCGTTGCAGCTGATTTGTTTTGCTTATCGAGGACAACGATATCGATGCGCACCAGTGATGCGATTTTAGCATATTTCAATCTATATCTAGCATTTTTATAAGTGGAATTTCAAATAGCCCTTTGACAATAGACTTTGCTAACTTTTCTGCGAAAAAAGGTTTACAGTGAGAGACAAAACGTGCAAATGGATTTGTGCTACACCCAGAATTGTATACTGTGTACATATAGTATTCTTAATAAGCTTCAATAGCTATGTCTGTCTGGCCGTCTTGATAAGCGGCTAGAGCAATATAATTTTGTTTATTGTACATGTAAAATCATCAAGATCTTATGAAAGGTCAAATCAGGGCTTATGTTGAAGTTGACGCTCGCCAATTGAAATAAATACATTGAAACCACAGAAATGTTATTGTTGGGGTGTATGTATCTAGATCTAGAATTTAGCTTATTTATTTTCGGTGTTAGCCATTTCTGTCATCTGGCGGCCTAATGTATCGACGATCTTACATCCCTAATACTCTTGATTTCCGAATTCTTTTTTATTAGATTTTTGTGCCCCGAAAAAATGACTAGCTGCGTGTCAGCGCAGCAGCAAAAAGATCAGGAGCAGTTGTTGGATGAGCTAAACGCTAGCGACGATGAAATGGACGATGCAGAAGATGCAGACAAGGCTAAAGAGCAACTGACAGAGCCCACATTCTCTTTTTCGGTGTGTATACAACGAACCCGGGTTTTGTCATCAATTTGTGAATAATGGAATTGAACCGTCCACAGAATAGCCACACCTGCTGGGTGTGCAATGGCTATTACGGTCCCAACTTTGGGGAGCCCCTTTGCGGGGCCTGCCATGCTTTTCTATACAACGCACAACTGGCCGAAGAGATGCTGACGGAACTGTCTGATGACGAGGATTCTGGCAATGATGAGCCACCGTTCAAGGACAAGCAGGAGGATGAGGAAACTGAAAACGATGTGGACATAATGGGATTCGAAGACCTGGAAGATGCAGAGCCCGCAGCACAGCCACACCAACCGCAGCCCCCGCTCCCAGTGAATAATGAGGCGGATGCGGTGGTCCAACAGCTGGAATTGCCACAGCAGGCACAAGATCTGGTTGCCCTGCAACCGCCGGCACGACGTGAAAGTCCTGAACGGGACTTTGACAACGAGCGTGCCGTAAATCCGTTCTTGTTACCCGTTAAGAGGCCACGGCCTATGGCACCATTGGGTCTGCCGCACTTCATGAACGAGCTGGCCGATGGAAGGTTGCGGTCTCATGAGTATAATGCCAATGGTGCTGGCAGTAGTAACGCAGCGGACAATAAGAGTATTATCAACCGGATACCTGTTGAGATATTGCTGAAAATATTTGCCTACCTGGACGACATGTCCTTGTGGATGTGCAGCGAAGTGTGCAAGCAGTGGCACGACATTATTGGCAAGAACACGGCGCAAAGCATGTGGAAGGCATACATTAAGCAGCGCTGGCCGTTGTTCGAGAGTCTCTCGGACTCGCCGGACTGGCACAAGCTGTACGGAGCATTGATGTCGTCATGCTTCTGTCGCACCTGCCTAATCGAAATGGGCGGACGCGGGCAATCTCCGCAAGACGACGAGCAGGACAATCCGATCCGAAACATTTTTCTGCGCGGCGAGGCTAATCTGGTGAACAGCTACGAGTCGGAGGGCATTTCCGCCATCCCATTGGATCGACAGAACAACTATTGGCAAGCTACGATACTGGGGCCACCGGGCAGTCCCTACGAGGGCGGAAAATTCTTCTTGTTCATCTACTTCCCAGACCGGTATCCCATGGCACCGCCCACAGTGCGTTTTCTAACCAAAATTCTACATCCAAATGTTTCGCGGCATGGCGATGTGGGAATTGACATTTTCCAGCAGCAAAACTGGTCTCTGGCGTTAAACGTAGCCAAGGTTTTGTTGTCGGTACAGAGCCTACTCACCGATCCGTACACAGAGGTGTGCATGGAGCCAGAAGTGGGCTACATCTATGAGCACGAACGTGAGCGGTTTGAGCAGCTGGTGCGTTCATGGACCTGGAAGTATGCCATGTTCGAATTGATATCGCCTCGCTAAGAAGCCTCTTAAGAAGACGGAGACGCGGGACACCAGCACTAGCATATGGGTTTACTGGACTGAAAGTTGGAAACTATATAAAACCCTCTTTAAGTTGATTTGTATATGATTATCAAAACTACATATGAAAATGTGTATTTAGGTTAGTAGTGCCATCCTGATTTTTCGATTTCGGCCACTCTTATATGAACCCCCCACATTGTAGTCGAAATTACTTAACGCTTCTATTGGTAAACCTAATAATAAAACCTAATATTTAAGTTACAATAACAGCATTGGGAGTGTATCTGCGTTTATTTCGTCCAGGAAACCTTTGGTATGTCAAAGTGTTCGGTCAGAGAGTCCAGGTGCTCGTTGAACTTCTCCACCCGCTCCTTGTGCGTGGTCTGGGCCTTGTCCATAATCCGTTTGTTGCGCATCTTCTCCTGCTGCTTCTTGCTGGCCAGCTCCGCCTTGGTTAGCTTACGCTCGTACCCACTGCCGACTGCTGTTGCTGATGAAGATGTACTCGTCTCAGCGATCTGCTGCTCCACATATGACTTTTGCAGTGCCTCGCGTTCCTTGTCCTTTCCCTTATTCTTCTTCTTTTTCTTCTTCAGGTCTGTGTCGTTCTTAAGCTTAAGCTTGCCCTTGGACACACACGCATATTCGTCGGACATTTTTTGTTTAAACAATTTTTATTTTTATTTATTTATTTTATTTTTGTTTGTTTTGTTTTATCTGCGATTATTAATGTTTTTATCGATATGCGATTATCGTTAAAATATACCAACCCACCCTCAGAAATATACAAAAATATACCGTCTCATTTTAAAATATACCGTAAAATATACTGATAAATTAAAGTTATATTTTACATATTGGTAAATTTTGATATTCCGTCGAATATTACTAGCTAGATAGATCTCTCAGCTCTGGCCACATAATTTTATCCAATTGATGAATCAATTTTTTACTTAACTGGCTTATTTTAAATGCTTGCTTTTATTGGAGCTAACTAAACAAATTAACACAGAAATAAAAAGTCCAAGATACATCGGAGAAGTCAAACCTGGTTCAACCTTTTCGAACAAAATTCACCTTAAATTGGAACATCATGCCAGTAATTATTTGTTCGTTATTTTATGATCATATTTTGATCTATAATCTAGTGGATCTTTCTTTCAGTTATTCAGCGACCCTTCACACACCCAAAGAGCTCCTGCTAGGACTGGAGCTCCAAGCGCTAAGCCCGGGATCATTTAGCACATTAACATGGACCAGCAGCAGCCGCTGAGAAGAGAAGAGGCACCCAACTCTTGAAAATTTGGTTTGAAATTTTATAAGCATTTAACTGATTAAATTATAATTCAAGATTACGCTGAGCTTGTCAGTCGAAGCTCTGAACTACTATAGTAAATATGCATTTTGCGGGAATCCTTTTGGTTCTGTCCGCACTTTTCCTGGCTGGCACTGAGGCAGATTCAATGCAAGCGGTCTTTTCGGACCCAGAACATCCTGGCAAATGTGTGATTGATGGCCTCATTTTGAGCGACGGACAATGGATACGGCATCCCAAGATGTGCGCTCTGTTGTGGTGCGGGAGGAACAGCATAGGCGGGATACACATGTGAGTTTTGATATGGCATACATTCAATAATAATGTGATAATTGAACATTCAATTAGATGTGGCAAGGTTTCTCCACCGCCCGGCAGTAGGTTTGGCGAATACACTGACCCAAAAGCTGACTATCCCGCATGCTGTCGTCGTGAAATTATTGAAGAACTTGAGAAGAAGGGAATTTTCTAAATAAAAGCAAATTGAAAAATAGAAATGCACACATTGTTAGTTTTAAAAAGACAATCTAAAAGTACTTTCCTGAACTATGACATCCCATACTAGAATATTGATAATTTCATTAGCATTCAAGCGATAATTTAGTCGATCCATAAGCACTGTACTCTCTCACATCTAGATCTATTTTTGCTTGCTGAACCGGTCGACCAGCCCTCTTCAAAATAGAAGCATATTAAGTCTGAGATTACACTCAGTTTGTTAGTCAAAGTTCTGAATCGATGAGGTGAAGATGCAGCTGCTTACAGGAATCGTTTTGGTGATCGCCGCTCTTATGCTTGTCGGCACTCAGACTGAGGCAGCCGTCTCTCGGGGCATCTTTAAAGACCCTGCTCATCCAGGAAAATGTGTCGTCGATGGACTTGTTCTGAACGACGGGCAGTCGGCTCGTCACCCCAATATGTGTGCCCGTGTGGTGTGCGGAAAGAATAGCGAGGGACAGATACAGACGTGAGTTTTAGAACTGAAACATTCGATTTTCATGAGAAAGTAATTATGAATTATTTATTTAGATGTGGAGTTGTTGGCCTACAGCCCAAACAAAAGTTTGGCAAGTACACAGCACCGAATGCTGACTATCCCGAATGCTGTAATCGTGAAATTCTTGATGCCTAATTAAGCGATCTTCGAAAAATGAAATAAATATTAAACGCGACCCAGAAAATAATTTGTTCCTCTTGTAATAATATATTTGGACAGTGGCGCAGCCCTACCGGTAAATATTCTGAACTTGCTTCGTCGGCAGGTGTCTCTTTTGTAAGCTCACCTTTGTGTAGTTGCCATGTAACGGAATTTATTTAAAAGCAGAATAATATTTTTGTATCTGTATGTGTGTGCCTTCAAGAGGATATATTATTATTAATAAAATTGGTTGGGTTTTAACGCACATAAAATATGCATAGTATATATATTATAGATCATGATTAGCAGAGTCTAGTGATGTCCATCTAAAGTAGTCTCGTCTCTCGTATTCAAAGAAAGCTCAATGGAAATTGTGCAGAGTAAAATTTACGCCGAATTCGGAAACTTTGAATACGTATACGGCTCCGAGACAGCGGGACTCGATGAGCCGAGCCATTTTCCGTAGGTCAGTTGTGATTCGACGAGCGACGGAACAACATCCCGTGTGTTGTGCATTTTGTCGAGGCGCGTCTGTAAATATTTAAAAAATATATTCATAAATTGTTTAAACTAAAAACATTCAGCGAATGCCAACATCCAAGTGATTTTTAGTGCGTGCTTCAAGTCTGGCCAGTGTTAAAACAAAGGTTTTATTTGTGGCTACTGTTAAAAAAAAATATTTTGTTAATCCTAACCAAAAAAAAAATATTTAAAATATATTCAAATTCAAAAAAATAACAAAAATTCAAAGTGCGAAGGTGAAAAGTCCGCCCACACTCTTTCTCCCAGTCACAGCCTTGCTCTCCCACGCGCTCCGCTCTCTCTCTCTCTCTCCCTGTCTGCCTCCAGTTTTTCTCTCTCTTGCTGCGGAAAACTAACGGTTTTAGAAAAGCTCGCTCACCTCGCTCATGCGTCTACGTGTGTGTGACTGTGTGTGTGTTCAGCCATTTGGCTTGTATGTGTGGGTTAGCATCCTGTGGCAAGTTCTTCACTCAAGGATAACAGTCGTAAAAGTACAACAATGTAATGAAAAATATCAGAAAATATCATCATCATCGCCAGCAGCATCATGATGGTGACGCGAAAATATTACAATTTTATGCTCGTGTTTGTGTCTCTTAGGGTTCTGTTTTTCTGTATTACGGAGTTGCCAGGCCACAAACTTTAATGTCCTTTCTTGTCGCTTTCTTTTTTTATGCCAATACGTGGGGCATTTGCATGCAATTTACGATTCCTGTACGAGTAGCATGTCTCACTAGCCTCAACTGTCGTTGTGGGTTCTGAATCTGAGCTGAAACTGCGGCTTTTCTGCCACACACACACACACATACGAGTACTTTCGTAGTGTTAGCCAAGGGCATGTAACAGGTAACTCAACACAATTGACACCTGTCTCGCTCTGTCGTACCCTTACGCTCTCTTGCGTTTTCTCCTCTCTCTCTCTCTCTCTCTCTCTCTCTTTCTCTCTGTTCTGTGGCAGGTAAGCTTCTGTAACGGTAACGGAATACACGTTCTGTCAATAGCAGCAATACGAGTTGCAACAACGAGCTATTCCAATGCCATAAAATGATGTTAAGTTGGTATTAAATAAAATAACCGCAAAGGAGACTACCAGCAAGACAGCACAAAAGTACTCGTTAGAAGGATGCACAATATCAAGTTAATTTTGATTTAAATTCCTCAATGCAACTCTAACTGCTAGCAAGAGGCTTTTATCGATTGATCGATCTGATTGATTATCGTCTCTTGTCGGCCAAGACTTACTACAGGGAATATCGGTGGTGCAGGGGTTTAAAATCTTGTCATCTAAGAAGGTGCTGGAAGGTCATCGGTCATCCTTCTCTACGGCTTTTATGAGCTGCATATGAAATGATTCCATCTTCAAAAACCGTATCTTAGCAGTTTTAAAGAGTTCACGCTGGACACTTTTAGCTGAAGGTCAAACTTTTGTTGGTTTTCTATCCACATATTTATATCTCATAATATAACTGATAACAATTTTATTTTCGTATAATTTGTATAGTTTTTTATTTATAATTTAGGGCTGGTATTACTGGTACTCTTCCAATCTGTTGTAGATTTGTTTTAATCTCTTTTTTTGCCTGTCCAAAAGTTAAATAGAGAAAATGGAAGGCAGGGAGGTGGTGAGAGCAGATTTAAACAAAGTCTGAAACTTTTTCATTACTGTTGCACATCTGGGCTAAAGTTTGTCGTATGGCTGGATGACCTTAATGCAAAATAGGGTTTTGGCCAACTAATACCAACTACCAACTACTAGCTACCAGCTCCTCCTCTTTCATCTTCTGGTCCGCCCTGAGTCTCATCATGGCTGTGCATTATTAAGCGACAGCTTCTGTATTATTCAACACCCGTACAGACCGTGCAGCCTGGCCCAGAGGATGTCTGTGTTCGAGTTGTATAATAAATAAAATGCATTATTCATGCAAAGGCTTCATTGTGGTTAGGCTGTTCTGTTTTTGCTTGTTGGTTTTTTTGGTCCTTTATTGAAATGCCATTAGCGAATTTCATTGAATTTTCATTCTGGTCACGGCGCAGACGCGGCGTATACGCAATCTGGCATTGAGGATTGATATCTATGAGGCGAAAGGTGTTCTGTTCGAGAACAATGCCAAAGAGTAATCATCATCATTCCGATTCCAGCAGATAATTCCAGACAATTCCAGGCCATTCATGTGAAAGTTAAGCCTAATTAAAAGTGTTTCGGAGACAGAGAGTGCGGAGAAAAGCAGGCAGAGAAACAAAGGCCAGGTGGTGATGCATGAATTTAGCTGAACAACAACAGAGAATTGGCAACATTTCGTGGCAGGCTATACGGCCCGGATTCGTTTTCCGTTTTACCGTGGAGCACGCGTGTGGTGGTGTTTACCTTGGACAAGAATAACTCGTAACGGCATAGACACCCCATCTCCATCTCCCATCCGACAAAACCCCATCCATCCGCGTTCTGGTTTCTGGCTTTTTCATCGTCCTCGTCCTCAGCCTCAGCGTCAGTCGTTTTTTGTGCGGCCTCACGTTTTGGAAAAACCATCTTTTGTGAATCCTTGGGCGCAGCACAGCAGTTTCTAGTCGGTGGCCTACTCTGAAGGTGAGTGCAAGCATTTCTTTCCATTCCTCAATGCCCATTCCTCACTCCATCCACCCATCAAATTCATTTGCTCAATCGATTATTCCCTAACCGAATTCTCTTGCAGCAGCAGCCACCGACTTAAATTAGCCATAAAACCTCATAAAAAAGCAGACAGATAAACAATTTATCCGCGGATAGTATACGCATTTGCTTGAAAAATTACGCGCATAATTAAAATCTGAAATGAAAACGACCGCATCAATGAATTAACCAGAAATAATCATACATTAAATACGACCATACTCTACGTATATTTTTATTTTGTTTGCTCAGTATAAGTATTTATTTTCCCATACCAGCTGTCTGATTTGGGAGAGCTTTGTGAAAATACGAGATTTACACAATTAAGCAGGAAATCTCCCATAATGAAGTAAAGATATAATATCCACTGAGTCCTTCTTTAATAAAGTACTTAATATTCATTGATTTTTCGATGAAATTACAAGTTCCACCAACAGGAAACAGATGAATTGGTGTCGAAAGTCTTGAAAATATTCTAAAATTGTAAGGGTATAGCCGTATTCCATTCATGGGGCAGTGCCCCTGCCCCAAATTGTTCCACAGACTGCTCTGAAAGGCGAGAATTATTTTCGTTTGATTATTTGATTCAATCGTTTGCTCATGTTGTTCATAAATTTTGCTCGTTTTTTTCTGCGTGTTTACGCCGATTGACTTCATTGTGTGCCTTTGTAATTTGTGATTTCATTTCATTTTAATTTGTTTTTTTGGTTTGCTATAAACCCCATCGCCCTCTGTGGATATTTTCTTAGCAAATATTTTCATACCAGGGTCATGCCTCGTCACGAATGACGCCATGCATGTGCCCCGTAAAATCAGCGTTAAATGTCCATAAACTCTTTGATTTGTGGCAAGTTGTCCAGAAATGGTCATTAACGTGGCTCAGATCCCTAGACATATCACACCCCCGTCTGGTCCTAATGGTCGTGTAATGGAAACTGTTTGTTAAAATTAGCCAACAGTGCCAGTGGCCAGTGGCCAGTGGCCAATGGCCAACAAGTGCCTGGCCGTGGCCATTAGCCCGAAACTGGTTAGTGTCTAATGGCATTAGTGTTTCCTACTTTTGAGCAAACTACAGGTGGGACAACAGGGCGGACTACGGCATAATGGCAATGTTTCCTAATTGCTTTTCAATGCTCGATGGCTGATGGTCATTTCATTGGAATTTCACAAAACTTCAAGGGATATATTAGAGATTAGAATACAGTGTAGAAATTATATATTGCATTCAACTATATTTATAGTTAATCTTCGTCTTTGGGAGACTGAATATAAAGCAACAAAACATATTTATAGCCTTTAACTTTTGCTCCCCATAACGAAGTGCAAATAATATTCTCCCTCAATGATATTTATACACCCCACTGATGCCACTCATACGTCCAATTGGTTGCCTATAAATAATAGAATAGAATGGAATAGTAGATGGGTTGGAGGAAGATGTCTCTTTCATAATTCATGCAAAACTTCATGTTTCAACTACTACAAATCAGGCGGGTGCTTCCTCCGTTCCGCCCCAGACATTTTTATGGCAGCCATCTTTGGCAACAGCTCGTAAAACAAGAGCAACAGTCCCATAATTTATGTCCACATAAAAAAGGAATGGAGCCAGCAATACACTACACGCAAACAGACATTTGGTTGGATAAAATTCAATTTCAGAGGACCCACCCTCACCGTCCAAATTTGTAAAGGAACAATACGGATACGAAATACGGGTAAATATCCAAATAAAAAGGGTAAAATTCTCCTCAAACTATATTTTTATTTGGCTCGTATATCACCTGTTCAGATTTCGTCGTGAATTGTCAATTATTTGTCCAAAACTAGTTGATTTTCCAGCCAAAATAGCGATTGGTAATAAATAAATGAAAATAAATTAAATGCCGGCATTTTATGCCAAAAATTGATTGACATATACATAGTTCCGGGTACTGTTAATTTATTGGCAAAAAAACACATATGTAAATACGAGTATCTAGACGTAATGGTGCGCTTTTGTGGTTGTGTTCTTTCAATATAATCCATCGCCTAAATAGTTAAATATTTATTGATGTCGTTTATCCTAAAATTGAGTGAGACTATGACAACTATATGATTGAAAATCGAAGTTTCGTGTGGCTATTGTTGGATCTATTTATAACCAGGAAACAGTTCAAAACTGTTTAGCCAGAATAAGAAAATTAAGATGACACAGTTTACGCATTATAGTATTTGAGATTTTAACCTTCATCTCTTCTACTTGAAGGACAGTCTTGTGAATAGTTCGTGCATTTTCGAGTACCAATTTTTTCCTTATAGAGCGGGCATCCCCCTGGTCGGAGAATCGACTAAAGTTCCATTTGCGTATTGCGGTGAGTGCGACCGGGGCACAGACAGCGCGTGAAAGGTAATGAATAAATAAACTTTCGCAGTAGTTGGCCGATTTTTACACCAAAAATTTACGTACGAAAGGAGGTATATAGTAAATGTAAATACACTGAAACAAATAATGGATACACTTTACGTTCATGTACATAAAGTGCTTCTTCGAGTATTGGGTATAAAAAACCCTTAGTGGTGTATAGAATCCAAAATCAATCAATTAATCAAAAGTATTAAACGATTGCAGACAAAATGAAGGTAATAGTAAATATTGCTGGCAAATCAAATTTTCTTTTTGGCAGAAATTCTATTACTTTTCCTCTCGATGAGATAGTACTTGTACGTGTCGCTCTTTTCTCTGAGTACTTTCCATTTCATTTTTCCCTGTGCACATACTTACGACCATGAGTCTGTCTGTCTGTCTGCCTGTTGGTGGGATATTCGGTGTGTTTTGCATATTTTAAGCAGCTCCTTTGCACCTTTTACATTTTATATGCCATGCAGCGGGTAAATTTGAGTTTGAGTTTCAGTTTCTGTTTCTGTGTTTTTTTTTGCATTCTTTCTCGTCTGTGAGTTTTTCGGCCGTCTCTCTTTCTCTTCAGTGAGCTCTCTCGTTTTTGCCTCTTTTTCTTGTCCTTTTATTTCAGTTTCCGTTTATGTACACATTTGTAGCCTGGCCAACAACCAACAGCCAACATCACCTTCACCTTTGGCCCGCACGCAACACACACACACACACACATCTTTCTCCGACAGTTGGAGTGGGTGCGGGCAGGTCTCAATCCTATGCCCCCCTTTGCAGCCAATTTATAAATGTTGTATGTACATGTGTTTTTACAAACACAAGCACACGTTGGCACACACACACACACACACATAAAATCTCGGGCATATGCTGCCTTTAAGTTTTGTGCAGCACAAAAAATTGTAATATTAATTTTCGTTTGCTTTTTGTTTTATGCTGAGGCTTGCTGTTTTTCTGGCTTGCGACGGAAAACTTACTGCGGTCACTGTATAGGTTGCAGGGGTTTTCCAAGAACTTTGGTCCAGCCCATGGCCAGGCCCTCGTTGGAGCCACAATGAATATCCTTGATTTTCACTTGCCAAAAAACCCCAGGACTACCCGTGGAATGAATCCAATTTATGGCGTGAAATTTCCTGGGAGAACAAGGCATTTCGATTTAAGAGAGTCACAATCGATTGGGAAATTGCAGACGCCGATTAGCATTTGAAGGCATTGAAATGAAAGCCTTAAATACTCAAATGTGTAATGACAATATGTCTTAATTCATGCAAACTTGCATGTACTCCAAGTACTTCAATATGCAGTTAAATCCTCTGCTAATTTATTCGATGTAGGGATTGCAAACATGCACCAATCATCTCCAACGACAGGGACTTTAATTAGTTTCCGTTAAATGCACTTAACACGGTAGCCAAATCCATTCCTGTGTTGCGGATTAACTCAAGTACATACCTGACTTGGGCGGGACGATGGCAGAATAATACCAGGAAATGGACTTATATATCTATCGATTTACCGTATTAATTGAAATATGAAATATGTCTCACTGCATCTCCGCTTGATTCATCTGAGGGTAGAACTCTAGGTCAATACCTTAATTGGGATCAGACTTTCCCCTGCATACCCGTACTATTTATTCGCTCCGACTTTTACAATTGTTTTTCCATAAATATAGCCGAAATATCCCTTAAATGCTGAAAAATTGTTATACCCTTTTGTGGAAAAGCGTATAAGGTCAGAATGCAATTGGCCGTAAATTGCGATGGCCAATGGGACATGGGACCGACTGGTCAAATGGTCGGATGGTCGGATGGTCGAGGCTGAAACGTTTGACCCGCAATGGAGCTTAATCCGCCTCGCCCTCATGCCCCCGCAAACGCATTCAAATGTCAATTAGTGTTGTTGTTGTTGCTGTGGTTTCAATTTCTGCACGCCGCTCCGCTGCCCTTTATCTTTCCGGCAATACGAGTTGCAGCAGTTGTTGTGGCCCTCGGGCTGATTTGGAAATATTTTCCATCCCCTGGGATGCCAAAGCATCCATCCATTGAAGGCCAACGGCAAGGATAGCAAAAATATACAGAGCTGAAGGGACAGAACCTTGGCCGACGAAATGTGCCACGGGAATAGCTGCCAAGAAGCTCGTAAAAACCAATAAAAAGAGTAAAGAAAATTATGGCATGGCCCACAAGTGTATATGGTAAGCAAAATTATGCATGTCCTTCAGGCAGTAAAACGCAGTGACTCTCTTTATGGTATTTAATTCTGGTAGGCAAATTTGGATTGAAATTTAACTGGTAACAAAATGATGGTTGCAACCGTTAATCACATATAACGCGACGCTTGCAACACTCTGGATAGAGGGCATTCGGATCCAATGCATCTGAGAATCGGCAATCATCTGGCGGTGCCTTGTTCTCACAGCTGTGGGCATAGCCTCTATATTAAATCCTTTTTAGCACTATTACTTGCCAGAATACTTACGTGAAGAGCGAGCCCCAGCCATTGCTAATGCAGAATATTGTGGCACAGTCGATGTTCGGCAGCTTAAAGGCCTGGCCCGACTCGAGCAGAACAACGGAAGACGGTGTATCAATAACACACCGACCGGGATAGCCTGATGAGAACTCGTAGCTCGTTAGATCTGATATAGAACTCCCACTGCCCGTATATGAAAGATCTCACCTGGATTCTCGTAGCTGTTTATGGACATTGCAGCAGAAATGGCCCCAATCCTAACGGCCAGGACGAGCCCGAAAATAATTGCCAATTTCAGAGCGAACAACATTCTGTGGAGAGTATGAATATGATATGTCCTATACAATGATATTAAGATATGTGACAGCTAACGATAGGCCTGGCCTGCTTTTTCAATACTTAAGCATCCTTGATGGGCCATAAAATCAAAAAATAATATCAGCAAAAGAATGGTGGTGATTCTGTTATTTTATTTACCCCACTCGAAACAAATATTAATGACTACAAATTTTACTGACGGCAAATTTTAATCGCATACAACTTTGCGTTTACAACATTCCGGAAAATCAACATTCAAATTCAGGAATTCTCCGTAACGGCATGATTCTGGCGGGCTGGAATGGTTACATCTGTGGATAGATACTTAGGGTAACTCAAATGTAGCGTTGTTATCCAATACAATATTTACTTGTAGAGCGCGCCATAGCCGTCTCCAACGCAAAGGAGTGATACACAGGGCAGGTTGGGTAAACTGACCGACTGCCCCAATTCAAGAGTGATTAGTGCAGGCTCCATATCGATGACACACCGACCGGGATAGGCTGAAAAGAAACGATAGAATATTTTTTTATTAGATGTGCTATAGTACTCTGATTGATAATACATTTACCTGGATGCACATAGCTGTTAAGGGAAAAATCAAAATTAAGGAAATTTTCAGATTTTGTTGCTTTGGAGGCAAAAAGCAAACCGAAAAAAATTAAAACTTTCAGAGAGAACATTTTGTTTCTATAGATTACTACGGACTGAAAACCAAAGAATACTATCCGTTATATATGTGATGACATCTACGAATCGGCCTTCTGTTCAAAAGCAGAGCCGTTGCCGACTACAGCACTGTGGATATGGCAGCTCCGGATGGGTGTAGTTTCCAAAACGACAACTCTTCGGCAGGTCACTCACTCCGCAGCTGTCGAGAGTCGTGTCAATTAGTCGAGAGTCCGTCTCCCCCAGTCCCCTGCTTACCTATGGAACAACGTCATGCCATCCGATCCGCAAACAATTTGACGGCATTCGTGCGTCGGATCTTTGATACTCACTCCTCCGTTGAGCACCAGGCCGGGTGAGATGGTGCATTTGCCTGGGAAGTCTGTGGAAACACATGCTTCTGAATATGCAAACGCGGAGTGCGGAAGTCGGGTACTCACTGGGATTGTGGTAGCGTATCTGCCACTCGGCCGTCTGGCTACCGATTAGAAGGCTGGACAGCACCATTAGTGCCAGTAGGTTAAAGTATCCTTTGGCCATCGTAAGCTTTAATTTTGTGTTTAATTTATAAGCAAATTGTATACTGACAGGTTTCGCAGAGAACTCGTTTGAAAAATGTTTGAAATATGGTAACGAAACCAATAAGTTATGGAGGAGCAAAGGAAGTATTGCCAATTGAATGACCATGGTTTTTAGGTGCCCAACAAAAATAATTTATTTTTACTTTTTCCTTTTCCAAAAACAAACAAAAATTTAAAATTTAAACACATCTAGACGGTAAGGTAAGGCCACTTCCAGATCATTCCCAAGCAATATCGTTGCAAGTTATGTCCATCTCACAGCATTCGGGGTATGCGGCGTCGGGGTTCTTAAATTCGGAATACTTGCAGTAGGTCGGTGGTGCATTCCTTGTGCATCTATAACGGAAAACATAGGGGTGGACCACTGTTTTAGTGCGTACTGTACATCGAATACTAATCAAATACTTACTCGTACACCAGGGCCCAGCCATTTTGATGGCATTCGATCAAAGCACACCTATCAGGATGTCTCTGCGTTTTGCCACTGTCGACAATCAAGCGAATGTTTGCCCCATCAACCACACATTTATCTGGATATGCTGTGGGCGATATTCCTTCAATTATATCCGTTTGCAATTACACAACGTATGGCTACATACCTGTGTCGGTGAATATCTGGAAATTGAACAAACTAGTGCAACAAATTGAGTGCAGCATCAGCATCAAAACCAGGACTGTGCAAACTGTGGACTGCGGCATAATTCTTGTTGTTTTCTTCTCTCGCTCCAAGTTGTTGTATCGCTTGTGTTGCCGGAAATTTGACTAAAAGATTCGATTTTCTGAGCTGTCTGTCGGGTGTGCTATGCTGTGCTATGGAATAAGTAATACTCGGATGACAGTAAAGAGCAGGGCCTGCCTGTTTGGTATGCGCATTTAAATTAAAACTGAGAGAGAGTGAGAGAGAGAGACAGACAAATATGCCCACGATGGAGGATATATATGCTGATGAAGTTATCGTATATGTTAATCCAGTTATATGCCATCGACTTGTGTCATTCGTTTGCTGCTCTGTCGCCTTGCATAATTCGATTATGTGACGCTGTCTTTCCCCGTTTGGGGTTTTCATGGGGTTTTGTGGTGCCAGTGCAAATATTGGTTTGATTGTTCACGTCCACCCCAGAGTCCATCCCCACCCCAAAGCCAAGCTGTCTGTAATTATTCGGGCACCCCCAAAATATAGACAAATTAGTGGGGCCACATAATTGATGCATCTGTGAGTACACGTACTGGGTTTACCTACACATATTCGAGGTATACGAGTATGGGGTTAGGTTTCCCCCGTGTGTTTGCGTATCTATGTATCTGGTGTTTTGTTTTGATTAAATCAGGCCGTGCTCCTAATTAGCGAATGGCCCTCCGTTGTTCCCAGGTCGAGATTAATTGAATTGAGAGTGGCCTCAGATGGATCTGGTCTTGAAATATACATTTCCATCAACTCATCTGAGTGCGATACGTATGTATGTATATGTGTTGGCAAATTTTTCCAGGCAGTCGAACATTTGCAAGTGATTTCCTTGCAAGAGGTCTCTCGATTTCCTGGAAACTATGGCATGTCTAAGCAAAGGTGGGTATTACTTAAAGGCAATCTTAAGAAGTTCAAGAAGTAAGAACAAAACAGTCACCGTTCAAGTTTATTTAAATGGTTTTAAATACCGGAAAATGTATTGAAAGAATATTCATTTGGATAATTTTCATCAGAAAAAGTGGGTAGATTTCACCTCTAGAGCATATATACCTCTATCCACAACGTTCTAACAATTCTCATGTAGACCAAATTTTCGCTTTGGCATAAATATAAACTTTCGATCGATACAGCAATAGAGCTATCTACCACATAGATACGCATACGGATATGGAATTTGCATATATAAAGAATCAACACGTACGAGGCTACGCAGCATAAATAACAAATCGGCCAGGTGAACAAATTGTACGAGGACTTGGGGTTGGGGGGCCGGAAAGGTGTCTAAATAAGGGTCAAAAACTGAACCAACGGTCAGGGGCCATCACTATGCTCTCTCTTTATGTGTGTGTGTGTGTGTTTGTGTGGCTTCAGGTGACCAAGCGATGAAAATTGGTCCCCTACGTCGGGGTGTCCCGAGGCTTGGGGCCAGAGATTGCGCCTCCGACTCGCTTTCTTTTCTCTTTTTTTTATGGTCGTACATAAAAACACACATCATTATAATTTCAATGATATTAAAGTCCATATCAAAGTGAATGAGATACAAGCGAAATGCTTTATTTTTATTGCCATTTGTGTGGCTTTTACTTTTGCATTATACTTTCAGCGCTTTTAATTTTTAGGGGAATGCCTGCCCGCTTTACTCCGCCCACCAGATGCAGACATACCATACATACCACATACATCAATACATATACCTTTCCGTATATGTATACCCGAAACAAAATTGCTTCCTGTCCCTGTTCCGCCCCGCGGGGAAGGGAGGGACGTCTGCGTTAAAAGGCCAACGGCCATGTGTTTTATTCGGCATTTATTTACGTTTGAAAGAAACAAAAAACCAACTCAACGTACATATGTATGTAGTATATACGATAGAAGAAATGCTTTTAAGCAAAGTCATTCATATAAAGTGTGTATGTATCTGTGTGTACACATATTTGTATGTTTGTAATTATAGCTTTCGACGGATATTTATAGTGGAGGAAACAGATACTCGTATGCGTCAAGCTGGGGAATGTGTAACCTCAAGGTCGCTCGCAATTTTCGCACAGAAACTTTCTTTTTTGGGCAGAATAAGAGAGGTTTGCATTTTAAAGTCTGGAAAATGTTCTGCCCTTCAATGATATATGTGTTTAAAAGGCTTCAACAGCTAACGATGAAGATGTTGGCTCACTGCTTATGCTTTTAGGACTAGGCTGTAGTGGCTTTTATACGATGAGTAACGATGAAGAAAAGAATTGCCATTTAATAAAAAAAACTACAGCGTGTGCTTACATTTTAGCTGATTGGCATTTTGCCAGTCACGTGTAAGCGATGAATGATGAAAGTGTAGTGCAAGAAAAGCTCCTGCAACCAAATAAAAGACCACTATTAAAGATGACGTATACGAAAATACAATTCCTAGAGTTCCTATCCAAGGAAGGCATTCTAATGCACTATACTCCTAATTGTGTTGTTTACCATCTAGGAACAAATTTCTAAAAATAAAAACCCACTGCAAGCAATCAATTTTCATGAACAAATGAAAGCAATTTATTTCACATTACGGATACGCGGGGTATTTCCATATCCAATTCAGAGATCTATACAGTTACAATGTATTTCGCTGAACATTAATTTATTGGACTTACACCCTGTTATAATAATATATTTTGCCATTCAAAATATGAAATATTCAGCAGAGTTTTCGCTTCACTGAATAATGCATGACCGCAAAATAAACTGCTGGAAAACAACGAAAAATTTTCAACACACAGTGCAGTAAACAAACAGTTTTCTATTCGGGACTTTTATGCTGCTGCCATCCAGCAACAAAGGAAAGCGAAACGAGGAGCCGAAGCAGCAGCATCAGCAGCTGTGGCCCACACAAAATCCCCATTCAGTCCATCAAGCCGTTCGTCCGTCCCCAGGTTTGTCCGTGCTGTTCGTGTGCTTCTTCCGTTGCTTTCGACTGCACCTAAAGTAATATTAACTAGAAATAAAAGGTCGAAGCATCAGATACGCTTACAAAAATCTACTAGGTGTTATCTTAAAGAACGCTTACAGATTTACAAGGGAACGAAAAGATCTATCATTAGACTGGTATTTTTTAATAAGACACTTGAATGATATAAGGTTTGTGGATTGTAAATGTGACAACTTCAATCTCATGGAAAGTGGGGGAACTATTGCTTTGATCTGTGAGGACTCCGTATTAAAAGATAGCCGGGCGGATCACTTAAATAGTCCATTGTCATGCCCTCTCTTGCATTGCAATCATCTAGGCAAACCGTATAATCGTTTTACCCTTGGTAAGGGTATCAAAAACCACTGCCAGGGGACCTTGAAAATGCAAAATTGACTGAATTGTTGTTGCGGCTGGCACTGCTTGAGGTTTACTGTTGCTGTGGCTACTGTGGGTGCTGCAGCCTCTGCCGCTATTGTTTATGACAGCGCCAAAGCGAGTTATTAAAAATTTTGTTTTTCTGCAATTGCATTCTGTAAACCGCTTAGTAGTCTTTGTTTCACTTCGAAAAACGAAATACTGTCGAAAATGGATCTCTGTTTCGTGTCTAGAAACAATTGTAAACAATTACAGGGAGATGGAAATGGGAGATCGAAAGGTGGTTCGAGTGGGGTGGGAGGGAAAAAACTGGAACAAAAAAGTTTTAGACCTCAGAGTCCATTAGTAAAAGAACGGGAACGTTGTGACCCGCAGCAAGGGCCGAGGCTCTACTTTTATTCCCGCTACTCAGGCAGTATACATATATGTGATATGACTTATTTAACCTATCAAATATATTGAAAAATAATTGTACATATGAGCTAATATGAAATTGTTTCTCTGAATTTACAGGTGAGTCGTCAAGTTAAAAGACAATCTCATACGAATCTTTGTGGGCAAGTTATAGAACATTTTTTAAAGTTTCGAGCACATACAGAACCAGTATATCCATCTCTTTGATCTTAAATTGATGCTTTTCTATTAATTTTCTTAACAATTAATTTGTACATTTGTACCCGTTTCTTCCCATTGAGTGATTCCAAACTCTTTAAGGCATTCCAAGAGCTTTAGGCGACTACAAGCTTTGTTAGATATTTGAAGGTAATATATATTATCTCACATTAAAGCGATATCTGAACGTTGTAATCCGAAGGATAATGGACTTGTGGCTATTTACATACGTATGTATATCCCGTCAATGGTGTGGGGCAGAGCTTAACCCAGACACGGCCATTTATCCTTGGCATTTAACAATGCTTGGCCCGGCATTTGTTGCTGTTGTTGTGGTTGGAAACCGCGAAAACTGCGCTTCTTGAATTATTCAAGACACACAAGTGCGCAGAACCCACTGAAAGGACAGGCCATACAACTGTACCTCTGTACCTGTATCTGTGCCTGCCCTGAACGGCAAGGCAGTGGGGCATCAAGTACAAGGATAATGCCAGGCCAGGCAGATAAAAGTGGCCGGAGTGTAGCATACATTAGGGTGCCGACGACGACGTCGACGCCACTGAAGTCCTCTTCGGCAGCGGCAGCTTGATTATGTCTCAAGTCACTCCACAGGGCCCGCCCGGCTACACAAAAAAGAAATTAATTAATTTTTAAGCGTAATTAAATGCAAAGCAGCACTCTGCCACACCCTCAACCCCTTAACTCTGTCCTTCTTCCATCGTCTACACTGAGAGAAAAAAGCAAGATAGACAGCAGTTTCCCAAATTGGTTTTAAGAGTTTTGAAAACTCGAAAATATATCTTCAAGTAAGGTAGAATCCATAGAGCATCATTTCTTAATCTTATTTCTTAATTTACGATTTATCAGGTATTCTTAAATCCAAAATATTGGTGGAGCAAGATCTCAAGGATCTTTTACTTATGAGAATGAAAACTCTATCTGGTTGGAAGAATATATTTATCTTAGATTAAACATTTTGAGGGTTTCTCATCTCCATTTCTGAACTCAAAAGCGTGAATAAGGCCTATACATACCTAATATGTTCGTTTCTGGATAAATTCTTTCCCAACATCTCCACTCCGTGCCGCTTTAGGGAACCCTTTCGTTTTTCTTCAGTGTGGGTCGACTCGGCTTTGTTTGCTTGTCCGTGAAGGCGGCACAAGGCTGAAGCCCCAGTCGGGGCAAGGACACAAA